AAACATGTCTGTGAAGTTTTTATTTCGAAATACCAAACAGATCATGCATTTCAGCCATGCCTCATTTCGCTCTATTTGCTCTATTCCAGCTCTGTTTTTGCAAGGGCTGATTCTGTGACGTAGCTTTAATGCAAATTAGCTGCAGCTGACCACGCCCCCCTGCAGAAGAGGGGCGCGAGGCACGGCCCCGGCACGAGCATCATGTTACCATGCTTGCTGTGAATACGAGAGGCAATCTGCATATACTTTACCCATCAAACATGAATAATCATGACACATTTTATATAAACTGTCGGAACTTTATTGTGAAAATCAACGGTTCATTGAACCCATAAAAAATAACAGAAAAACAACACAGCCGTTAGCTCTTAGCACTCAGAGCTCACAGCTCTTCATATCTGTTCAGAAACTAGACAAAAGTTAAACAAGTACAAACCACAGACTGCCTGTGTCATGGCGAATACAGTCGCTGCTTTATTTATGTCTGTAGGCCGTTGTTGTGAGTGTGGACGGTCGGAGCATATATAACGTTAGCTTAGCCAAGCTCCATTTGCAAAACACGCATTTTAAAAGGTGTTTCTCTGCCGTGTGTCTGCAGACTTGTCAAAGCATTAATTCATGGTTTTTACTAACCGGTATCAGTATGTTGTTACTTCGGCATCATTTGGAAATGTGTATTACAATTAAATCACGGTCAAATATGTTCATCTTGTTGTAGTTGTAGCCCCCTTGCCAGCGATTCTCTCTCTAGTTTAGCATACTCAGCTCGACTCAGCCTGGTTGTTCCTGGCCCTAGAACCACGATTTTATGGGGCAAGAAAAACTGTGAATTAGGACCCGCTAGCTGGTACTAGGCCAAGTGGAAACGCAACCAAAAACGGGCCCCGCACGGCTCGGCACGCTTAAAGCGAGCTACCCGCTGCAGTGGAAACGCGCCAAAAAACATTTCTTACAGACAGGCCTCGTGGTGTCCGTAGGCTTGCCCTCAATGTCAGAGATATAGCTAAAATACTTCCAAATTTCGCTTCTGGCGTCTTTTTTGTCAACAAGCCGAGATTAGGGGCGCGACAACTAATCGACTTAATCGATTAAAATCGATGACCAAATTAGTTGCCAACTAATTCAGTCGTCGATTCGTCTGTGACGTCATCACGTGTGTTTTACACGCCGTTAAGCTCCAACGTTATTGGTCTTTTTATCGGTACTGGAGACATTTAAAATATATAGGTCATGTATTATTGCTACATAAGCATTATATCGCAGTCTTAGTGTCGCCAACTCGTTTCTAATATGCAAAAAGACAAAAACAATGCGTCTATGATGTATTTTCGATCTTTCCAATCCAGACGAGATCTCTCTCTTCCCCGTCTGTGTGCGAAGGGGCGGGGCAGTTTACACACACTTCTACATGCAGCAACACACGGCGGGGATGGCGGAGAGAAGCGCTCCAAGGTGTGGTTAAATGTTACCCGTCTTGAGGCGGACAATTCTCGTTGCCAATAGTGCAATAAGAGTTTAGCATGTAAGGGCGGTAACACGAGCAAGTTGTCTAAACATTTAGCAAAAGTGCTCCACATTCAGACGGAGGAATGCACCGGGTTCCACTGTCTTTCTAGTAGCTCTGTAGCCCCATCCACGAGTAACATCAGGTGTTATGTATGCTAGCAGCAACACACGGAGTTAACTACATGATACAAACATGGATTAATGATTAGAGGTAACTGAGTTATTTATTTTGTTAAAGTTTCAGCTATTCTGTTTACAGTTCTGTCATCAGATTATTTAATATGATTTGTTAAAACATTGTTGTTTCTTTTGATGTGAAATATTATTTATTTAATTTAAATAAAAAGCAATGTTAATTTTGTTCACAATTTGTTAAGTTAATTTAATAATATATGTATTTTTTAATCAAGTATTCATCTTTAATGTCTTCATCTTTAGTTTCCACATGCCTAAAACAACCTCAAGCTACATCTAAAAGTTGATGGCTAAATAAGAGCGTTTGAGAAATTGTGCAAGGCATACAGTAATAGTCCGAATAGTCGATTAATCGTTTAATTAATCGATAGATTAATCGATTATCAAATTAGTCATTTGTTGCAGCCCTAGCCGAGATGCAGCGGCAGTTGAACTCTCACTTGCAGCCATGCTTCTCGTTTTCTCACATGCTCTGGCAGCTAGCGCGTGGCTGAGAGAGGGGAGGCACTTAGAGCGTGCTTGAGAGGGGAGGGACTGCAGGCACGGCTGCAGTGCAGGGAGTGGAAGCAGAGCGCTGAACAAACACGACTCTTATTAAAACGGCGCTTTCTCACCGGAGTACTTTTCCCCGTCATTCTTAAAGTACCAATACTAATGAAACGGACAGTGGCGGCTGGTGGAAAATATTTTTGGTGGGGCTTTTGATATAGTGGAGAAATGACCCCTTAAATTAGGACTTCTGGTGATGTAATGGCGCGTTTCCAGTGCAGCGCGGAGCTTGCTTTAATGCTGCGTTCAGACCGGACGCGATGCGAATATTCGCTTATTTCTAAACTCTCCTATCGCATCGCTCTAGTCGCTCGAGTTTACCCCGGCTGCCAGCTGTGTTTACTCGCATCATTCAAACAAGACGCGCTGGCTCGGGAGCTACAACTACAACAAAATGAACATATTTTACCGTGATTAAATTGTAATACACGTTTCTAAATGATGCCGACGTAACAACATACTGATACCGGTTAGTAAAAACCATGAATGAATGCTTTGACAAGTCTGAAGAAAGACGGCAGGCGAAAAACCTTTTAGAATGCTTGTTTTCTGAATGGAGCTGTGGTTTGTACTTGTTTAACTTGTGTCTAGTTTCTGAACAGATCGTATCTGTCCCCGGCTGTTTGAAGAGCAAGCATGGGAAACAAAAGATAGTATTTACCTGTTTGCATCGTTTGCATCCAGCTAGCCTCGTTGATACGTTTTGTCTTTTTCACGAGCTTGCTGTGATATATACAAATCGGGTTGGTCCGGTCCAAGGTCTTTAAGTATCAATTTATCTCCCAAACTTCTTCTTTGGAAAGGATTGGAGAGTAGCTCTTGCACGGAATTGGGTGCGGACCGAGGTCCGGCGACTCCACCTGCACACCATTCTAATTACTGCGTCACCTTGGTCACTCACGAGTCTAAAAAACAACTCACGTCACGTAAGCAACGTGGGCGCCAACGTGAGCGCCCTCGTGACCAAAATATTTGACGGCGCTGATTGGCTGAAATTATGTTTCGGCGGCACAGTTTACTATTGAGACTTTTGCAACGTGCTGGTTGCTGCTGTTTGTCTCGGGGGCTCCGCCCGGTAATGATAAACTAATGCCATGGGCAAGGCCAGGCAGGAAACATGTGACTTATCAGCAGTGTTGTGCTAGTTACTGAAAACCAGTAACTAGTTACCATTACTAGTTACTTCATTTCAAAAGTAACTCAGTTACTTTACTAGTTACTTAAACCCAAAAGTAATGCGTTACTGTGAAAAGTAACGTTTTAGTTACTTGAAAAAAGGGCTCCCATTAATGCCCTTATAGCCTTCATTTCAGTACTGTTATTGCATTGGAGAATAATACAATCTGTTGATCAACTTGACATGCATTATATGCAATCTGGATTGCATCGATATTAGCTGGCTTTCCATTTTTGTATATTCTTTCTCCAGGTAGTTGGAAAAAGTTTTCCGTCCCATATGCCGTGTGCCGCCCGGACATGCTATCATGCTAACTAGCTCCCTGAAAGCGGGTGACTCCACTGTAGCAATAGCCTGCATGTGTTCTACAACATACCGTGCAATGGCTTTATCGACTTTTCCCTGGCTAGCAGTCCCTTGGTTAAAATCCAGCCGCTGTTGCTTAGGTGGAGGTGGAGTGGCGTCGGCTGAGTCTCTGTGGTCTTAGCTACTAGCTTCGTCCCAGCATGTTGTTTTTGCATTTGTTTTAAGAGATTTGAATTACTGGTTTGGGCAGTAGATAGGATCTTTGACCCGCCAGGACACAACTTACATTTAACAGAAACTTTCTTTTCTTTGTGCTCGACAAAAGTGAAATAGTGAGAATATCTCCAGGTGGAGAAACTAGACTTGAGCTCCGCTGCCGCCATGATAGTCTTGTTAGTAAACAACACAAACACGCCCACAGCCCGTCTCCGCATGTGACACAGGAAGTATCTAAGTACATTTACTCAAGTACTGTACTTAAGTACAGTTCTCATCTCTGTTCGCCTGGCTGTTGACTATATAAAAAAAACTAACGGAGTAACGCACCATGTAGTAACGGTAACGGAGTTACTGAATTTAAAAAGTAATGCGTTAGAGTACTAGTTACTGCCAAAAATAACGGCGTTACAGTAACGCGTTACTTGTAATGCGTTAGTCCCAACACTGCTTATCAGTAACTTTAGACATCGTAACACAATTTTAAACGAGATTTTATTGTAGATTATATATTTTACTGATACCAATTGTATGATATTTACCTTGTTCATTAAAAATAAAAATATAAAATATATATTTTTTTTAAATATATATATATATATATATTTTTTTTTTTATTTTAATGTGGGAAGAGGTGGGGCGGCGCCCCTAGCGCCCCTATGGGTCGGCCGCCACTGGAAACGGAGGAATCGTAAGGTTTTTAACGGCAGGGTATCGCGGTACCTTTCAAGTATCGGTACACCGTGCAACACTAATGCAGAATCTATCATCTATCATCACAGGTTTTCCGCTGGTACACTGTAAAAACGCAAACTTAAAATTGTTGGCCTGAAAATAATTTGTTTGTAAAGTGAACAAAAAATATTGAATTGAGTTGCTTACTACATTAAAGTAGTTCTCTCGACTATCTTTATTATGTTGCTTGTTTAAAGTGTGTGTCATTTAATAAATTCAGTTGGCAAAACTTAAAAATCCAAGGTTAGAGTTCAAACTAAGTTCTTTGTGTATGCTTCGAGATATGAACGGGGTCTCCAACAGAAATCTGCAGGGGTTTCTACAGTATTTCGCCTTTACATGTTCGGCAGTGGCACTCTGCTGTTCTCAACGGGACTGATCATCCTCAAGGTGAGCACTTTGTTTGAATGTTGTATTGAAATTATGAATATAGAAAATGACTAATTTAAAGTGTAACATTAATTGATTGCGAATTATTTAGTTGATTGTTAGTGAATTATCAGTTAATGTGGCACTAGATTTTAGTTTGTGGCACATTAGCCGAGTTTAACATTAGCTAGCTAACGCTTCTCTTCAACAGGAAAAATGTTTTAGAAACGTTTATCATGTCTGGCCCTAGACAAGTGTAGCCAGAAACGTGGTTAGCTTAGCACATACAAGTTGAATATCAGTGGCAGAAAAATATAACTATGAATGGGGGTTTTAGCAATATTCTGGCAACCCGTCTCTCGGCCAGCATTGAGGACATGCGGGTTCCTATTATACATCCATGCATGCGGGTCTGTCAGGTCAAGCCTGGCGTGAGAAAGGAAACCGAACGTTAAACTGTTTTATGGCCAGAATATATGGTAAAAGACGGACTGCATAATTAAGGGAGGATTACCGTGAGTTAACGATCAACTAGAATGTAATGTGTGCGAGGGAATCAACCGTTTAAGAGCACGATATCAGCAAACATGTTTTCACCGTAGCTCCAACGATATTATTTTAAATGTTAATGTGAAATGTTAAACAACATTTAAGGTTAAACGTGTTACAGCTTCATAGATCGACATGTCTGATAGGTGGTAACAGTCATTTCTCTGTCCCCGTCAGTGCAGCAGACCGACGGAGACGAGACGACGGAGTGTGTTGAAGCGGCCTATATGAACAACTACAATCCCCGGTTCAGGTGGCGACTGGCGCGCTAACGGAGCTCCAGGAGGGAAAACCTTTGCGACGCTGAGGTTTGGCTGATTTGCAAAGGTATGCTAACATGGACGTGTGTTGTCTGCCACATGGTCGGCTTTTAGCTTGAAAAATATACGATGCATATTAGCGTTAGCATAGGACAGTAAGAAAGGTACTACTTATTACTGCAAGAGCAGCTAGTGGTAAGGACCTCGGACAACTTAAATGTAAAACATGCTATTGAGACATGTGCCGTCAGTTTGAGGCGTGATTGAAGGTCATTCCAAGACCAAGGACCACAATAAAAAAGACTCCTTTTCCCAGCCTCAGTCCGCACAGTAGGAACCTGGAACCGTATCCAGGCACTGGATCTGAGGTTGTAAGAGTCACAAACTGGAGCAAATCTGGCAAGTTTAGTGTTTTATTCCGTTATAACAAAATAGCAATAAACAACGGTTTCCTTTTTAATGCCATTCTTAAATAAATGCAACAAGCTGTAGTTTTTGTAGACTGTAAATACACCAACTATATCTTTAGTTTATGATTTGTGTTATCAAATGTGTTCTGCGGCTACAGATATTTATTTTTTGTGGAAATGGGGCTGAAATGGGGCTCTTGTGATAGTAAAGGTTGCAGACCCACCATATATATCATACACAGTTTGTGTATATCTATGTATTGCAGCAAAAAACTGTGAAAGGTAAATTGACCATTTTGGCTTTTTAATTCTAATTACAGATATCATATGAAATGCAAATATTGTGATTTCGTCAGCTCAAGTCATGAGTGTACTGAGGCACCATCGACTTCGGCAAGGAAGAGGAAATCACTGGCCCTGTGCCTACACCGACTGTGTCTGCACCTTCAGAACCTATAGGGGCATTGAGGTCACACCTCACCAGATCCCACTGCAAGACTGCACCAAGGCAAGACACCTGCACCTTTTTTTGTGAGCTATGTGACTTCAGAGAAAAGTGTATTCTAAATGGATTAAGTTTTTTTTTATGATACAGTGATTAACAATATAAAGTAATTGTAGTGGCCATTTCCATTATTCACAGGTGAGTTGTGGGAGTGATCTTACGCAGAGATTACAGTTTAGTTTGACTTTTATTCTCTTGAGTTGTACAGTACCAGTTTTTCAAAATAGTACATTACCCTTAAGCCAAACTAAATAAACTGAAATGCCAACATCAATATAAATGGCTTCTACAGTAATTCTGAAAGGACTACAAACTGTCATTCATTGTATTAATGCTTTTGTTTTTATGCTATTTTTGTGTACCACAGATTTGCTATGAGTTCCTTCGAATCACTACCAAGGACCTGTTTGGGACATTTACAGCAGCCTTGGATGAATACTGTCCTCGACTGATAAAGCTGTATAGAGCCAGGAAAGGAGCCTTCGGACAAGGGATGGAAAACCTATTGGATTCTCTTGATGAACAGGTAGCTTTTGTCTTTAATGTCGTAATGATAATTTACAATATTCTTAAAGAGAACAAACAGGTGCATCTCAATAAATTAGAATATCGTGTAAAAGTTGAATAATTTCAGTAATTCTATTTGAAGAGTGAAACTTATATTTTATATAGGTGCATTAGACACAAAATGAATTATTTAAAGCATTTATTTGTTTTAATCTGGATGACTACAGTTTACACCTTTTTTATAACCCAAAATGCAGTATCACATAATTAGAACATTTCACCAGACACATTTTGAGACAAATGACTCGAAGAATCTTTGATTTTGAATGTGAAGTTTTCTGTTGCCTCAAAAATGCACTTCTCGTAACTCAAGAATAGATGTGAAAGTTATTAAAAAGGTTCAAATCCATTTATATCTAAAAGGGGTGTCCTATCTTGTAAAAGCATCATATGTTGGTACTTACTTCACTTTTACCTCATCAACAAAGTTGACATAAGTCCTGTTTAATAATTCAATCTCTCTTCCGGTTCAAACAACTATTGCAAAGTTCTTTAGTTCAGAGAAGACTTGCCGTTTTAAATAAATCACAAATGGATCCTGACTTCTGAGATTCTGAAATGTCCATTTAATCACTCATTTTAACCATAAATCCTAATGCTCTGTTTTTCTGATTTACAGACATCTGACATTGCACAGCAACGAATGAGAATGTGTCTGGAAGGTCTGCCCTTATTTGTCCGTGACAAGCTCTTCCTAAAATGCCTGGTGTGTACAGTATGGTTGTCCATTAATCATAAGTCTACATTTAATGTCATACAAGTGCAGTTATTAAGTTTTCCTATAATCATAGATAAATCTGTTTTTGAAGATGAAGCCCGATTCTCAGGATAAATACTAGACCTGCTACATAACTACTAGTGAACTAGTTGTACAACAGAACAGTTAACATTTTCACAGTAATTATTGTGTCATTGCTGAGCAATCAAACCAGTGTTTTATTTGCAGTTATATAATATCCTTATTTGCAGTGGTGTAGTGGGGATTTTTTTACTGGGGGGACGCTATTTTAATTAGGTCATCCCAAACAATGCCACACAAGTGCGCATGCGCGCAGTGCACTCACAAAACGGGCAGACAGGTCCACAGAAACTACCGGTATGCTTAGTCCTACTTTAGTTACTGTACTGCAAAAAGCAGACGGCGCTGCGCTCAACACACACAGACTCAAAACCATGGACACACAGGCACATAAGTTACATAAACAATTTATAGGCCTAAATTGCACAAGCTACAGTATTGCAACTAAGCAGACAGTGCTGCTTCTCTCTCTATCTCTCCACTTTCAAAATCTATTTAAAACTCATAACAAACAAACAAAATGTCCAAAGTTGTCCTGAAATTAACTTATTAAATAAACACAACGAAAAATATAGCCATACTTATGCAAACAACATTGAATCTGGACTTGACATTATTCTGATTATAATTGCAAATAAGCAGACAGCGCTGCCACACACACACACACACACACACACACACACACACACACACACACACACACACACACACACACACACACCTTGGGTTTTGAAGACTGATAAATCCGAAATGGATGAACAAACTTTGCAGCCCAGTTTCCCAGCTTTGCAGTCTATCCACGGGTAGCCTCTTGTTTCCTCCGCCACATCTCCTCCGTCCATACCTCTGGGAAAGGTGAGCTTGAGCTAGCTAGAGGAACGTTGCTAGCGCAGATAACGTGCACGTTAGCTAGCATTATCCACGTCTTTAGGCGGCTCTTCTGATGATGTATTACTAGCAGCTTCACTTGTAGCTTCGGTGCTGCTAGCCTCTTTCTTCTTGTGAATTATATTCTTTTTAGAAAAGAAGTCAAGTAAAACATGTTAGCCTGCCATTATAGAGCTTTTTCGTTAGTGTTCTTGAGGGAAAGAGCTGCCGCAAAATCGGCGAGCTGGCGTGATGATGATGAATCATACTTTTTTAAGGAAATCGTTTTTATGTTTTATTATAATTACTGTGAAATGTATTATGTTTTCGTCATTATTACAACAAATACACACTTGCAACTGATAACACTGGCAATGATTTTATATTTATTAGACTTAAAAAAAAGATCATGCTCCAAACAAGTGGGGGTACGGCTACCCCCGCGTCCAACGCCCACTACACCACTGGTTATTTGGTAAATAATAATTGCTTATCTGCTTTCTACATGCAGGACACTGATCCGGAAGAAAAGCAGACTGCTGGTGTCAAGATGGGAGTCCTCACTGTTCTCGTAGATGATGGTGGACCTACCCCGTCTCAAATGGTCAACAGTATTGCTGTTGTCTTGGAAGAGACAATTGTACTCTCGGATCTACCAGACATCCCAACTGCATTTGTCTACCTTTTTGGTCTACTCTATGCCCTGAACATTGAGTTTCCAAAAGAACACAAGTACACTTTTGAGACTGTTCAGCACATCTTCATGGGACTTTCCACCAGTTGCTCACAGCGGATCAGGAGTTTGAAAACAAAGCTCTTAATCTAAGTGAGCATTGGCAAATTCAAAAACGGATTCACAAGATGTCCCCATTTCATTTTCCTGCCTTCACCGCTGTTCAGTTCCCAAAACCAAACTAACCCACTAACTAACCCAAATAACCCAAGTTCTTTATCTTTACAGATAAAATGTTAACTAGTGACATGAACATCTTGCTACATTTTCAAAGACATGTTCTCACTCTTAAGGCACAAGCACCTTTTTTCTCTAACATTATTTCACATTTTTCTCAAGCTGGCTTGCATACTCGTTGTTGTAATATTGCAAGGACTAGTTAGTAGTTACTGCCACAATTGTTGTCTTGCAGCTGGTGTTTTTTGTATAAAGAGCCATATGAGTAGTGGAAGAGTTGGAAATGGTGTGGTCCCTCAGAGTTGTGTTGGGAGAAATCACTGGCTGTTTACATGCCGTTTTACAGATTGTTCATTTTCGTTATTAAACACTAACTTTGGCATATAACTTTGCCATTTGTTATTCCATAGCTGCTATTGTTTTGACAGCAGGCTTATTCAAAGGGTGGTTTGCACATTTTTATGGAACCCTAGCCTTATGGAAGACTTTTTGTGATGGTGTATTTTCAATGTTGTTACACATATTCAGTATAATTGGAAATCTTTGTTTTTTACAGTATTTTTATAACAGAAGTTTGTAATAAAAATCTGAAGTTTGTATATGTTTGATACATTTTCTGAAACAAAAATATTAACTTTGCACAACTTTCACTTAATGGAATTGTTAGTATGTAGTACTCAAAATAAGAAGTTTCTATACATATGAAAGGTACATTTTCTAGACCAAAAATAATAACTTTGCACAACTTTCACTTAATGGAATTCTTTGTATGTGGAACTCAAAGTTAGAAGTTTTTAAACGTATGAAAGATACATTTTCCAAACCAAAGATAATAAGTTAGCACAACCTTTACTTATTTAAAATGTTAAGTATGCAGAACTCAAAACTTGAAGTTGTACAAAATTTGAATGAGTTGTCTCGACAAAATATAATTAGTTGACTCAATTGAAAAGAGAAACTTAGAAATGTTAGTTGGCCTCAAAACTTAAAAATCTTGTGCAGCCTGTTGCCTTGACATTTTGAGTTGTCCTAACAGTGTAGTATGTGAGGTGCTGGCCTGTATAGAAGAAACATAGTTAGAACAAAATCATCTCAATTTAGTATTCAGGATGAGTAAATACTATTTGGATAATTATAATCTGAAATCCCAAAAGATGGGGGCTAACGCTGTCTATTTAGCAAAGCTGATGTGTTGGAGAGGGGCTGAACTCAGACAAACTGGAATTAGTGCTAGCCGTTAATTAGCCAAGTCCCATCAACGGAGCTGTGCAGCGTTGTGTTTTTCCCCCCTCCTTGCAACAATTGCGCACACATACACACACTGTTGTATCCTAACAGTCGTGCACACACTAGGGGTGTTGAAAATAATCGTTTCTACGATGCATTGCGATGCGGACGTGGACGATTCGGTCTCGATGCAGTGACGGAAGATAATCGATTATAGCGTAGTAACGTTGCTTCCTGATTTTCCGGCCGCGGCTTTACTATAACGTTTTTTTTTTCTGTCACTTTAATATCAAATCGGTCGGTGACGCAGAGATCAGGGAACAGACGTGACAGCGGCACAGCAACACCAAACACGGAGCAGTCTGCTTTATCCACCAACACAAGAACACCAGTCCAGAACCAACAGCAGAAGGACCCGCTCTGAATCACTCCGTGTCGCTGCGGCACAGGGATTTATGTTTTTCAAAAATAATCGCGTTACAATCATGTCAGGTTTT